CGGCATGCATTCAACGCGGATAGGGGCGCGATGGCGCAGATCATGTCCCCCGCATATGCAACGTCGCATGCTGTAGTTTTCGCGGCTTTTAGCCGCTGGTCGGGAGGCTGAAAAGAGACCACGAGCTGTACTCTGGTACCTCCGTGCTGCGCCTCGCTTGCCAGGCCCTCGTGGAACGCGTGCCCAAGCCTCTTCGACCCCCTGTGGGCAGAGGTCGGCAAAGACAGCACGCAAGACAGCACAAGACGCACCCGACCCCATCACCCTCCTACATCGTACAGACGAGCGCCGATCCGAGAAATCCGCGCGGACCTCCGAGTTTTTATCCTTCTGTCAGCGCTCGTTCCCCTGAGGGAAGGCCTCCTCCTCCTCACCTCCTCTCTTAGCATCGTTTCGCCGATCCCTGTCCCCATGGGCGTGGCCCGGGCCCTACGGGCCGATTTACCCTCCCAGATGGGGATAGAGGCTGTTTCCTTCGGATCTCGAAGGGACCCATCCCGAACCGGGGTGCTGAGGTGGTGGGGGTCCAGATGAGGATGGGCATGGGCATAGGGTTATGCTGTTCCAGCCGACCTTACTCTTGATCACCAAGAAAAAGTCGTGCACCAAGAAAGTACCGAAACTTGAGGGTTCTCAAGTGTCGGGCCCTGGGAGGCGATACTCCTTCGACACTGTTTCGATACGTTTCTGGGTGCTCGAAATTATTTTTTGATGTGGTCCTTAAGTACGATGGGAGCAACATCAGCATAGGGGTCGGTTAAACGATACTGACTTCTTGCGCGCGCCGCCGAGCTTGGCTGGGGCAGCGCCAGGGCGGGCTGCGCCCGCCCTGGCGCTGCCCAGGGGCCCCCAGGGCGGGCGCCCCGCGGGCCGTGAGCTCCCCCAGCCGTCCCCCGCCGAGCTCTGCCAGCCGGCTCCGATGCCCCTCCTCCCCCCCCCCCCCCCTCCTCCTCCTCCTCTCCTCCTCCTCCTCCTCCTCCTCCTCCTCCTCCCCCTCCTCCTCCCTCCTCCTCCTCCCCCTCCTCCTCCTCCTCCTCCTCCTCCTCCTCCTCCTCCTCCTCCTCCTCCTCCTCCCCCTCCTCCATTCCTTCTCCTTATAGATAACTCCTCCCTGTCGCACCCCGAGGCCAGCTTTTATAGCGGGCCGGGCGTTTCGCTTGAGACTTCCTCACCATTCATGATTCAGTTGCTTTAAAAGTGACGACAGCTTCGCAGATGGAGGGCGGGTCGCTTTCAAAATGTGGCTCTCGCCTTAGCGCCGCGCACATTAGTTTAAGCAATTTGCAAGAGCTTCACGGATTGAGGGCGGTTCCTTTTCGACATGTAGTTTTCGCTTCAGCGCCGCGTACGTTCGTTGTTTAAATTGCAACAGTTTCACGGATTCCCATTATCAACGCACCAGAAATAATGTTTAGGAAGGATTCGGGTTTATGCGGGCGCAGCACTTATGTTGATTCGATGTGTTGATGTCCCCACGATGGCGTTCTGGCACGATTCTGGATCGTCAAGACGGAACAGTCAGGTTGATACGTGGCGTTGAAATCCAGAGAACAATGGTTTGGCACGCTTCAGGAGCTTCAAACTGTTGTCTTCCAACGCGGCTGTTCCCTCAATGGAAATGAACAGTTGTATGGGCCAATGAAGAGGGAGCTTGGTGGGAGGGTGAATTCCAACATCGTTGATAACTCTTGGGTTTCCACCGGTCTTCCTCCTCCTCCTCCTCCTCCTCCTCCTCCTCCTCCTTCTCCCTCCTCCCTCCTCCGACCCCATCTGGGAGGCCTAGAGCATTACCGTCTCCGAGCCGTGGACGCTCTGAGGGGGCGGTCAAGAGTCTACAGTTAGGGTAGGTTCGTGTCGTGTCGACCGGCGGCGACCCCGCCAGCGGCGTTCAATTTTGAACGCCGCGGGCGACCCAGAATTGTTCGATGTTGAACGATGTGGACTTTTCGGAAACGGCCGATCGTTCAAGGGGCAACGATCCCGGCGGTGTCAGAAGCCAAAGCCGAAGTCGGCACGACACGAACCTGACGTGGGGGAACAAACAATTACATAAACATGATAACTCGGAGATCCGCGCGGATTTCTCGGATCCGCGCTGGACCCCCCTGGCGGCGTCTCTGGCGCCGTGCCTGGCGCCGCCCCTGGCGCGCTCCGCGCGCCAGGTAGGGGGGTCCAACGCGGATCCGAGAAATCCGCGCGGACCTCCAATGTTTTATGTTTATGTCATGCTTCGTTCCCTTAACAGTCAACCCGCATGGTAAGGATGGGGAACTTTCCCAAGGCTGCCCCTGCATCCTTGCCCCTTCGGGCTATCCTTGGCGACTTTCCCTGGCCAACCTCGCTCGAAAAACCTGAACATGGGCCTCCAAGGCCCTTGCATCCTTACCGCGCATCCTTCTGGTACGGGTTAACCCTGACCAGGCATTCAGAAACCCCCCCTAGGTTATTCTTAGCACCCGGTTTTTTCAATATTCCAGGCGGGCAGTTTTCGCAGAACGAT